TATATATATATATACACTGCCGTTTTAGAGCAAACTCTCATTTCTCGCGCTGCAATGCTTACGTTTCATAGAGAGTGAATGGTAACGAATAGTAACGTTGAATATCTTCCACAGTGCATGTGTGCCTGCCCGTAAAACCTCTATTAACGCTAATAAGAATTTATGAATACATTGATAAGTGCATGGAATGGAGATAAATAAAAACTGGATTACATAGTTTATTTTTCTTTCTCCCGACGTCATAAGAAAGAAAATGCTGATTTTTCGGCAGAATAACGCGTTTTGTGGATCGCTGATACCGATTTTTTTTTTCATTTTGTGCTTTTTAGGTACCTTCTTTTCTCGAATTGGAATCCGATCGTTTAATCAGAGTATAAGCACTTCGGTTAGGTTCGGATTTTGTCAATAAGGTTCATTTTGGAGGATGGAGGAGAGGAGACAACTATCTTGTGTTATTCAAGTATTAATTTATGATAACTTTCCGTCATGCCTGAAGGAAATTTCGACTAGAGACTAGATGTAATTCAGCAAATAATAATAGTTCGGCATATTTGTATTACAGTTGGGTTCCTTTATTCTTCTTGAATCTACTTTTACTCATTTTGAACAAGATTTGGGGAAGGGGCGTCGTGACCCCTGTGATCCCTCCTTTTGACCCCTGGATTCGCCAGAGCCAGAGTTCATGCCTGAGCCCCTAGGCCCGAGACCAGCCTTTATTACTCCCAGTGCTGAAAGCAGTAATAATAAAAAGAACACCGTAAGGAACGTGAGCGAAAATACTGCATCATAAAAGTAAGAGCGTATTGATTGTACTTAAAAAAAGAAATAAGCTAATTGGTCATGAATTACAAAACAATGACAATATAAGACTATAGAAGAACTAATTCTCAAAATGTTGTATTATATCGAAGCACTCTTTTGTAGTTATTGATATAAATAATAACTAATAAATTGCCTGGTTTATAGCACAAGTGGGTTTCTGACATAACTGCTAAATATTTAATTCTTATACATTCTAGAAATGTACAGGCCTATCTGTTGAGCAATAAGAATGTTAGTTCTTTTTTGAGCCAAAAGTTTTAATGTAGTGAGTGAACATGCAATTCAATAATGACTTAACTGAAATGATGGTGGTGGTGATAAAGTAGAATAAGATAAAATAGCACAATTTGAATCAAAAGTGCAAGTGGTCATAAAATCGTATTATATGTATAGTATATCATACGTAAAATCGTATTTATGAATTTTTATAATTTTGTAATATTATTACGCGGTTGTTCTAAAGTTTCTTGCGGCTATCCTAAAGTTTGTTTAGGAACTTATTAGTAACAGACTTCAATATTAATTGTATATTAGAAGATCATGGAAAAGTTAAAAAAAACGCAGATGATATTGCAATATTATTGAACAAAGTTCTCAGTTTTATTGACAGTACTTAAGTTCATTTTGCTAATGATCCTAAAAATGTTTAATATTTTATTTAAATCAAATAATTTTAAATCTGTTTTAAAGAATTTCTTGAATATTAAAAAATTTCCCTATTTTTGTGATTATTCATGAATAATTAATTTGATTGGTATCCATTTTGAGGTGTTTACTTGTAATTGTCATAAAAAATTCCTTTAAATTTGAAAGTAAAATTTGTAAAACATAAAATACATAAATTAATAGAAAATTAAGATTAAATTATTGATCAAAGAGAGTATTACTAGTTCCATGAAATTATTGCATTATTATAAAATTGATTAAGAACATAGTATCCAGCAACAATTATTAGCTAAATTATATGATTCTTTATTCGGAGTGTGATGCTTCAAAAATTGGCATTGTTGATGCTTAACATTGTGTGGTTTTGAGAAGCGAGTCATGTTATTGCTGGACTAAATAAATGCACTATCCCTACTTAACTTTTTATTACCATACATCTATATTTAATTTTCTGAGGCAAAAAATTAATGTCATTTGGTCTTCCAATTGTTTACTTAATTTCTCTTAGTGTGAATGGAATTCACCCCTTAAATTGTAATGCACTCATCCTTCTATTGAATAGCTTGAAAAGGGGTGAAGGGTGCAGAAGGGTGGAAGGGGTTAAAAAGGGTGGAGCTTAAAAAAGAGTTGCATCAAGGGAGGGGAGGACCCCTCTGCATTGAATGAAAGGGGTGAATGATTAGGGTTGTATGTTGGGGCAATATGTTTTATTTAATTCATAATGACTGTGCACATGTAGCAAGTGTGTGTTAACATCTCCATTAAAAATATAAGTTCTTATTATGTTTTATTGTATAAGATGGTGGATACAACTTGCTTGTAGTTATCTTAAGGAAGCGTCTTATGAATGTGTAATGTTAATCCTTTTTTTAACTGTATCCGGTGGGTGCATAACAAAAGATTCCTTTTAAGAGACCAAAGGGGGTAAATGGCAGATACAGAGGCTTTGTTGGGAACGTGTGCTTTGAGAAAAGAGTATAGAAAAAAGGGGTATAGTGTGTGAATCACTATTTGGCAAGGGGAGTGGAGTTTTTTTTATATGCTGAGATTAGAAGGCAATTTTTTATCCTTTTTGAAAGGGTTACTCATTGAAATGATGCCCCAAAGGGATGTTTAGTGGAAGGAAAGAGCGCAGTTCCATTCGACGTTCAATAGGGCTGCGATCCCTTCTTGGAGGGGTGAATTTTCTGTCTCGCCTTCTCTGTGCTGCTATTGGTTCAGCATTGGAGCAGTCGCTTGGTATCCGGGGAGGCTGGGAAGCTTGGAGGCTGACGGTGGCTCCGCCTAGCCAGTGAGGAAGGATTCACCCCACCGCTCCAGTAGCCAATACTTCACCGCAGGGTTGTGTTCTCCCCTTCAGTGTCGTGTGAGCCTCCATACTGAACACATGTGTTGATGCAAGTTACTTCGAAGAAGTTTTATTTAATTGGTGTTCATATTATAAGCATATGTGCGCAAGAAAAATTTTTAGTTTGCAAGTCGTTTTATATCAGAGTTTAAAAAAGTGTTAAATACATTTTACAATATACTTACTTTTCCTTAAATCACTTTTTTCTCCTCAGTGTAATGAGTTGCGAGATTTTATTTGAATTTAAATGCTGTTATTTTTCATTTGAGAAAATTTTTTGTATGGAAAAAGTATCTGCTCCTAACTTTCTTTACAATTAAATAGTGAAAGAACTCTTTTGGTGAAGTTTCTGTTACCATCGTTTAATAATATGTGAAGAAAATTCATTAGTGAAATAAAGAGAAGACATGGAAACAATTTTGACAGTCAACCTTGTGATTAAGTGGTTTATTATAATTATTTTTCTCAGGGCAGTTAATTTTTCAACATACAATGTGTTTTGTGGATTACTTAATCAAACCCATGGATTTATATGCAACTGTTACAGTAAGCAAAAATTGCATGTTTGTATGTATAACTTGGATACTATGTGACATACCTTTGCATTCCTAACTTCTTAGTGAAATACATTTTGTTACCATTCCAGTGGTATTGAAAATAACAATGATTCTCTTCTGGTAAATTTTAATTCTATAGCCAATGGGGTTTTGACATAAAACGTTATTTTTCTATTTTTATTAATTTTGTGTTCATATGTTACATTAACTTAAACTTTTGCTGCCAATAATAAATTTGCAAAGGACAATAAAAATGTCTAATAAAGTACTTGAATACGAAAGTGATGCAGAGTATCCCTTATTCCATTTGTATGGATTTTTTATACTTGGATCTTTGATTTTGTAGAAAAGTGGAAGTGGCCTCTAACATTTTAATGCATGTTTAGCATGAAGTAGTTAGTGCAAGCAGGTGTTGAATGGGGGTAGCAAATAGTAATGTATAGTAGCAACTTTAATAACTGTACAAAAATATTTTCTACAATTCCAGACATGTAAAATGATTTCTGTTTCATTGCATCTTAGTTTTTCATTAAGTGCACATTTCTATTTGTGTTGACTGCGTGAAAACGCTGTGCTAGAGTTAGATCAATATTTGATGGTAGCTCATCATTAGACCCTGTTGTAAGTATATACTGCAGAAGAGTTTTCTTTGTGAAGAGATTCTCATGGTAATGATTTAATGCTTGTGATATCGGAGAGAACACAACTCGGTGGTGGTAAATCTGGTCACATATGCCAAGTAACACAATGTCAGAAACTCATCTCCTGACTAATTTTTAACGAAATAAAACAATCGAGTAGATCCAACTTACAACTGGAAAATTGCGCTATTGTGCTGCTTTGAAATACATTATTAATGGAAGTCCATAAATGCGTTGAATGCTAATTGAAATGCATTAAACATTAGTCATGACAATATCCCCCCCCCCCCNNNNCCCCCCCCCCCAATCTTAGACAGCATTTTAAGGGATTTTAAGAGTTGATTGGTTTTCAAGATAAAGATGTATTGAATTTCTAATTATGAAATGACATGAGTGGCATATTTCAAATATAGTGTGAAGTATAATTTAAGTGTAGATTCTGATCCACTTTTTGGTGTATTGAAGAATCTAGAGCAGTAATGTGCAATAATTACTGTAATAATCCAACCATTAAATTTGTTAGAACTGCTTATTTTTTATTTAATTTCTTGATACATGATGAATAAAGGATTTTAGAATATTGCTATTCATTTGAATAGATAATAGAGTTAACCATTTTCAATATGTGTGTTCTCTGGTTGTGCGAATAAAACTGCAGAACAACATATATATTTTTTTAAGAAGGTAATGGAGATTGTGATGATCGAAACAATTTGTTTTATTTCAATGAAATTTTGGGACTTAATATGCAGAAGCAGATTCTCAACATTGAGATTATTTATTTCTCACTTGTGATCTTTTTTCAAAAATTGTAAACTCGTGCCAATTTGCAACTAAAGTGATTCTTTATTGGTGGAATATAAACTGAAAAATGCAATAGATTTTCTTTTCTTTTTATCATTCCAGATTGTCAGAATAAAAAGAAAAACGTGTGACAAATAGAAAAGTTTAGCATAGAACTTAAAAATACTGTCTGATAGAAAATTCTTATACTACTAGATAAATGTGTTCAGAGAGGAGGTCAGAGGTAATTCTGCATGAAAACAATAATATGAATAGCTATTACTACAAAATCACATTTATTATATTATACTACATTTATCAAATTAAAATGCGGTTTTCTATCTTTATTTACATATGATTGAAATTGGATGTTACTCAATAAATATTATTATTATTATTATTATTATTATTATTATTATTATTATTATTATTATATAGTGACCAAATTGCAAACAATTTGTTTGAATAAAACTGATAAAGAAAGGCATATCTGAAGAAGAATGTGAATCAAGCAAAATTAATAGGCAACTTCCTTTGTTTATAACTTTTGAATTAATGTGAGCAAATA